TAATGTCGGCGATTAAACCAAAATCAAGTGTCCTACTCGAAGGGTTCAATCCAGATTTCTATTCCAATACCGTCAAATTGGTCCATTTCGTATTTCGTGGGACCGAGATTCGAAAAATAGATATCCCTCAAGATAATCAATATCTGAGCAGTCAAATCGAATCTGGGAGTATCTGTTCCCATGAAAAGTAGGACGTATTGCACTTTCTCCCCTTTCAACTTCTCCTCACACATCTTCACCAGTTCGCTGGGCGGGATGTCTTGATCACCGATGCCTGGAACATCTAGGATTTTGACTTCAGGGCCACCGAGCTGACGCTCGTGGCGGGCACAAACGTTCGGAGCTTGCCTGATCCAGAAAGTTGCGTTGGGTTCAGGCAACTGCATGTGGGCTTGTCAGTCACTGCCCTCAATCGCAAGTTATCGCTTGGATTCATAGGCTTTCGTCTTCTCGGCGTCGCCAGCTCTGGCCGGAAGCAGGTTGGGGCATCGCATGAGCCCGTCCACGCTCTAAGCCGGCGCTGCCATGGCGGCAAAAATTGTGACTTAATCATTGCTGCAAGATAACTTGTTGCATCAGCTGCAAGCACTCAGGTGCAAAGTGCAACAGACAATGAACGCAATTTGTAGCAATGGACCGATGCCGTTGCGGAGTCTTCCTCACTAGTCCTTCAGCTCCCACCAGCACTATCATCCATGACGCCTCCATAGACATCGTCAGAATCACAGCTGCGGGGTCAACCTGGGCCGGATGGATCGCCTCATTGTATGATCGGATCACCTCATCGATCTGATGAAGGCCTGCTTTGCCAGGCCATCCGTGGACAATCCTTGCTGCAAGGGCCCAAAGCAAAATCATGCAGGTGCAACTCCAGATTCCAGCAGCTCAAAAAACTTGTTGACGCACAACTTGCCGCATGCAAGATGGCATGTAATGTAAAGGGACAGAGAGGCCCGGCAATTGATTTTCAATTCGCGCCACACGAAATATTTTTACGACGCCCGGAAGATTTGGCTTAGAAGAGGATCCCACCGGGCACCCCCACCCCGGAAAACGTGGCTTTATGGTAGAGGGAGCCCCTGCTAAACAGGGTCCAACATTATCAGGCAGGGCGGCAGTCGCGCAAGGTCAAGCTCCGTGGGCCCCACCGGGAGGGATTGCTGAAAATTTATCAGCATAATTTCGTCCTTCTTCATGAGAATGTTGCTGCCTGCCGGATCACCATGCAGCACCGACATCGGACGGCCACAGAGCCACTTGGATACCTTAGCTTCTGTGGCAATCCACATCGACCTAGCTTGCATGCAGTTGCCCAAGACAACACCCCACACTGCCTTCAAGCATCGGCTGCTGTGACAGGAGGGCGACAAAATTCACAAACAATGTCAACTATGTTGACGTTGCCAACGTCCACCGTCCCATGTTCATCGACATCCTGCAGCAGCAGCGTCATTGCAGTCGCTGCCTCAGGAAAACCGACGCACGCGCATGCAGAAAAATCGTACCAGCCAAGCAGCTCCGCCAGCACTGTCAGCTCCGCTGTTTGCTAAATCTCCAAATGCATGCCATGATGCAGCTTGCTCTACCGGCGGATTGCCCAGCTTTCTCCAGGTAGAGTCGTATGTAGCGAGAGCCTCCTTCACGAAGAACTCCCTAGTGAAGAGGGAGTTGTCCCCATAAGAAAGCCCTTCTAGGTGGAACTTCGCCAACAAGGCTGCAGCCCTTGACAGGGTTTGGACTGGCATTCCAGTGATCAACTCATCTAGACAGCTTGCCTGTATGGGTCTCCAACCATCAGCGCTGGGATCTTCGATCAAAACGAGGTCCAAGTCCGCATGATAACAGGTGGGGACTATCCGCTTTTCCTGGAGTTGCTGGCCATGTGGACTGGAATAAAAAGATACTTCGCAATTGTGGCGGGCATGCTCATCTGCCTTGCCATTGGGACCAGTCGGAGGCAGAGTCTTGGCAACAAGGAATATGCTTGGCTGTCCAGGAATGCGCACAGAAAGGCTCCATGAATTCACACCAGGGTAGGGCTGAACTGTCATCGCTGCCGCTGCATCACAACCTTGCAGGTTCAATATCCTGCAGATGTCTTCAATGCGAAATGGGAATGCCGTGGCCCAACCATGAGAGCTCATCGATATCCCTGCCGCTGGTACAACTACATGCATACCATGGCACATGCAACTAGACCACGGCTGCAAGTGTGTTACAAGGTGGAACTCTCTGGATGCTTTAGAACTCATGTTGACGCCGGAGCAGGTGAGTTTCTCGAGAAAGAGCGTTCAGACAAATGCACGTTTACGAACAAAACCATTCTAGTCAAAACACTTGGGATTGGGTGCAACACCACAAGCAGCAAGATCAGGAGTCGATGTGGCGTGTTTTTGGCTTGCAGCCTGGATCACGACTTCGCCTAAAAGGCGATAACAGCAATGCCACAGTGATTCATGTGGATGAGAGTGCTGCTGTCTGCAGAAAATGAGCTGAAGTCGCTGCGAAAGTCTCATCTCCCACCCATGCAGCGCATTGGCTAGTTCCAACCAGTACACACATCATCAGGGCAAGGCGGAAGGCACTTTGCCTTCCGCAAGTAAGCTGCCGATGAGCTGCATGCACTCATCTGCAAAATGCCACAGCATCCATGAACAAGCCGTAACCTGTCCTCGTAGCTCGGGCTCGGATTTCTTGCGCTCAGGCGAATAGAACTCAGATCCACACCGCACAATCTTCCAGGATGCTTCCATACATATCGTCAGTACGACTCCTTCACGGTCCACATGAGCTGGACGAATTGCCTCGTTATACGCCTGCATCACTTCATCCAGGCGCTTTGCCAAAGCTTTGCAAGGAAAACATCCGACAATCCTGAGGTGCAACATTAAACCTCCAGTGTGATGCGCACACATAACCCACAGACGACGTGCATGCCTGCCAAGTGGCAATTTCGAAAGGTCGACTTCCATCGGCCCTGATGGTGTGGTGCGCTCAAAATCTATGAACATGGTCGCCTCTCCCTTGATGAACACGTTGCCCGCATGTAAGTCGCCGTGAAGAACAGACATAGGCCGACTGCAAAGCCACTTGGGCACCTTGGTTGGCCGCTGCTACCGTTGTGTGAGCCATGCTGTTAGCAAGGTGTGGAACATTCTGCAATGAGCATGCACCAAGTTGGATGGCATCATTCCCACGTGCGCATTGCCGCCCGGCGACGGCCGCCATGAACGCAGAATGACAGAATGCGCTCACGACGTCGACTACCGTCCCGGGGTCCAGCACTTCATCTTCAGCTACATCTTGCAAAAGCAGCCCCATTGCAGTTTCTGCCTTGGCGCAACGTGCACAGCAAACAAAGAGCACTTTGCAACTCCTGTAGAATAAGGTCTTGCATCGTTGTTACACATTTATAAGAAAAAGACACAAAGCGCTACACACCCTTTGCCTGTACTACCTTCCACACGTGCACAATCCAGCACTGAAATTGCTGAACACTGCCGTGGCGCGGCCTCTCTTGGTGGTATGCTGCCAAAAAAAATCCAGCGGTATCGGTATCTAGAAAGGACTTGGTCCACAAAGTACTTTTGAACAGGCAAGGATGTGCCTCCACAAAGAAGACCTCGGAGATGAAACTTGCCTAACCCTGCCGCCGCATGGGACACGAACTCAACTGGCATTCCACGATTCGGATCAATCTTCTCATCAAGAGGCATCCAGGCATCAACGCAGAGATCCTCCAGCAAAATCAAATCCGCATCTGCATGATAGCATGTGGGAATTATACGATGTTCTTGCAAGTCATGAGCATGCTCCGACGAATAAAAGAAGACCTCGTTTGAGTGGCTGCTAGTTTTTGCGAGCAGCCTCATACTTGGCTGTCCAAACACTTCTACAGACAATTGCCACACTTCTGCTGTGGAAGATCCGTGTAAGACTCTCTTTGCGCGCACATCACCACAATCCAGGTTCAAGATCCTGCAAACCCGTTCTGCACTGCAGGGAAACTCTTCCAGTTGATTCTGTGATTGTTCCATAGTCCGTCCATTGGCACGGCTGCAGATCCTATGTAGGCCTTGTTTATGAGCCAGCTGGTCGGCTGCGGCACTGCTAGCATCGCGACACCATTAATGTTGCATCCTGACTAGTGTGGACCCCATCAATAATGAAAAGTTTTCAAAAAATGATTCAGGGGACAAAGATTCGGCTGCCCCCCCACTATAATGCAAAGTTTTTCGGGCATGGGTTTCGGAAGAGAGAAAAAAAGCTTACCTGAGCTGAGCTCATCTGAGCTTGCCTGAGCTAAACCTTGAGGCCTGAGGTTGTCGGGCCCTGGAATCTTCAGTCTCCAGGCCAGTTCTGGTAAGTCCTACACCACGCAACCTAAAGGCTACTGAGCGAAGCAGGGGTGCGATGATGCCTAAGGGGGGGAACACCAACAGCTAGCTAGCACTCGCACTCCTTTTGTTTCGGCTTGCCGGAAGTGTCTGTCAGCTGCTTCTGAATCCGATCGGCCTTTGGCCGAGGATGTCCCAAAAGTGAAAGCTGAAGCTTGCTGACAGTCACAATGCCCGTTTCTTAGCGGAAACAGGTGAAGGAAGCAAAAGCGGAAAAAGCTGTGGCCGTAGTGACTTGCAAGCTTTAGAGAAAGAGCACCCCTCATCGTGATGCAGAGCTGCCTTTGGCGAAGTTTAGCTCCTGTACTTGCATCAACTGCAAAGGAATAAGGCGTGGGTGGGTGGGTGAAAATGAAAGCGGCAAAGCATTGGAGCTCTGCATGTGTTGCGTGGTGCGCTTGCTTGAACCGCGGCGATGGGAGAGGACATTACCCAAAACAACCCTGAGTGAACACAGGAACCGTTCTGGTAAGTCCTACACCACGCAACCTAAAGGCTACTGAGCGAAGCAGGGGTGCGATGATGCCTAAGGGGGGGAACACCAACAGCTAGCTAGCACTCGCACTCCTTTTGTTTCGGCTTGCCGGAAGTGTCTGTCAGCTGCTTCTGAATCCGATCGGCCTTTGGCCGAGGATGTCCCAAAAGTGAAAGCTGAAGCTTGCTGACAGTCACAATGCCCGAGTGAGTAACTGGCAAATTACCCAGGAAAGAAAGTGAGGCGACGGCGATGCTATCTGCGAACATGAGAGCCCCTATTGGACGGGCCTACCATGTGTACAGCTGGGATCTGCCACAGCAGACGCTTGTCTGCGGGAAAAGAGAAACACCGAATTGCATCTGCCAGAACTCATGAAGAGAAATTCGAAAGCGGTTCTCAGCCTTGAACTGAGGCGGGAGAGCTGCCGTGCAATCCCATCGTGAAAGCAGGTCGGCCTCGACATTCTTTTCATCGGCCAGGTGGCTGCAATCCAAAGCGATGCCGGTGATCGAGCTCCACATAAACAGCTTCCGCACAAAAAGATTAAGTGGAACTTTGGAGGTGTGCAGTTTGTTACACACAGATTCGGCTCCACTATTATCACTTAAAGCAGGAGGTTTCAAGCCCAAGCGGCTACCACCCATATGCTTCCAAAAGCACAAAAGAACAAAGCACTGAGCCAGCGTTTCGTAGGAGGATATGTCCAGGTTCGCGTCAGCTTGCATGGGTCAGGTGGCCATTTGGGAAGCGCAGCCAACCACCAATGCCGCAAGTGGAAGCTTTGCCGAACGCATCTGCGGCAGATTCCACCACCGGTGCCAATTGTGGGAGGCGAAGTGGGCGTGGGCGCCATTCCACTGAGCTGACGTACTCGAAAAACTGGAGAGTTTCTTTGCTCATCTCGGAGATGCGTCTGCGCGAGGAGGAGGGATCGGAGACACGCATCCAAATCCGTTTTGTGCTCACCGGCACCCGCAGGAGGTCCTCGAGGCAGTGAAGATCCACACGGCACGCTGAGAGAAGCTTAGAACCTTCTCTTATTTGAGTGCCTGGGGGGCTAGAATCAAAGTTCCAGCTTGCATCCAGGCGGCGCTTGACTCCTGCACAGTAAGTGGGAGTGATGCTGACATTGGTGCCCAGCGGACGATGCAAATCGTCATACAGTGAAGAAAAAGCCACGGGCCCATCGCAGGGAAGCCGTGCAGTCTCCACTGTAGAAGGCCCAGCAGCTTGTCCAATTGTTTCTTGGAGACCAAGCGGCGGCGCAAACAATCTTGCACCAAGCCAAGCAGCTTGAGGCGCTTGTTTTCGGGTAAAGCGAAGCAGCCACACCCAAAATTTAGCTGCCATCCGATCCACGTTATCGTGGGCCCAAGCTGTAATTTGCGCCAGCTAAGTGGTCAAGCGAAATTTGCGGCGCCTCACTGCCCAAGAGTTTGGAGGTCCAAGAGCTCCGGCGTCGCTCACACAGCGCTTTGCAGAGGTGGTGGCCCCGCTCTTTGGTCATGAGGAGCAACTGACAACAGCTGGGTCCAGCCCATCAGGGCCGAGCTCAACCACGCCTCCTTTTTGCTCCCTGGAATCCGCCTTGCAGTGCATGAGCAAGAAGCCTCGCAACGCTCCCCCCTTCGGGGCACAAGACGGGGGCGGGAGCTTTTCCATCCCGGGTTGGTCATATGGGCCCCAGTACCAGGACGATGCTCTCAAAGACCTTCGGCAGGAATGGCAACGATGGTGCCTGGAGAATCATTTGCCTGAGCGCCTAGCCCAGCGTGTTCGCGAACAGCGGGAATCTCCTCTTTTCACAACCGAGGAGACACAGTGGTTGCAGAACTCCTTCAGTCGCTTTTTGGCATCAGCTTCTCCGTCAAACAGTTCCAAGTTGCCCCCGGTCAACCCTACTGCCTCTCCGCCTTGGAGCAGCTCAGCAAGCTGCTGGAGGATCGCGACACCGCAAGCGCAAAAGGACAGGACCAACGCCGCGGAAAGCGGGAGCACCTTGGCGTTCTGCAAAAGCAGGAAGTCGTCGACGTACAGGAGAAGAACGTGGGGTAGCCAAATAAGTAGGCGCAGGCACCGTGTGAGGAACGTGCCCACACGGGCGAACCAGTGGGATGAGAAGCTGGCCCCGAGGGGGCAAACACTGCAAAAAAGCAGGCGCTCTTGTTGGCGGAGGCCTAGTAGACCTCTGTCTGCTTTGCTTCTCTTACCCGGGAGGTTTTATGAGCTCCTTTTGCGCGCAGGGAAAAGCCTGCCACCTCCTCTTCATCTTCTCGCAGTGGAAAAGTGGACTGGACGTCCTGCAGCATCGGCAAGCTGAATTGTTCCGGAACGAAGCAGTTCTGGTTTGTGTTGCAGATACTGTCAAGCGGGGAGCTCTGCCTGGAGCTTCGCCAACGTTGACCTTGCCGACGGCCACGTGGTCCGTTCCCCAGCGGGAGAAAAAGCTGCCTCCAAGTTATCCACCTCTTCCAGGAAGCCTGCTGCCTCTTCCTCCGCGATGAGTTCTTGAAGCAGAGCGGGATCCGACTCTTGCGGTGCGCCAGTTCCCCTCGCAGACCAGCAAGCTGTGGCCCTCATCAGGCTCGGACTCCCGACGTGGCCGAAGAATGTTGCTGCGGGATATGTCCCCGTCGAAGCCCGTTGGCTTCCACCACTGCACAGTACATCGCTGCTGCGGGTACTCTGCCGTCCGTTAAAAAAAGTTGCCTGGGATTCAACCTGACCCGCGAGTTCCAGATGGACGTTGCCATGAGTGCAGTGGCCAGCAAGCGAGCGCAGCTCCGCAAAGCTGGGCTGGAAGCGAACATCCAGGGTTTGGTCCAGTCTTGGCCAACAGTGCAGGCCGGGATGACCACAAGTGAGGCCTGGATCTCGGAGATCAGGGGCTGCGCAAAATCTTCCTGCCATGACATCGCGTTGGGCGGCTGCTCTAGGGACACATGGCCCCCAGCGGCGAAAACTGCACGCAGCAAGCATGAGCAGCGGTACATCAGGCGCTGACTGGAAATGACCCTGGCCTGTTGCTCGGCATTGTTGCTGGGTAGTCCTTGCAGGTATTCAGGCGTGCATATTGGCGGCAGATGCCACGAGGCGCAGGATACCACAAGCTGCTGCGGCGTCGCCTCCGCTTGCACCAGGTCAAGAAGGTTCAAGGCAATCAGGTGCCACCCAGCGGTATCTCCGTGCCTCCGCTTGCACCAGGTCCAAGGGTTCCAGCAATCAGGCGCCAGCCAGCGTAATCTCCGTGCCTCCGCTTGCACCAGGTCTAAAGGTTCATGGCAATCAGGCGCCAGCCAGTTTGCACCACACGGTATCTCCGTGCCTCAGGTCCAAAGCTTCAAGGCAATCAGGCGCCAGCCGGTGGTATCTCCGTGTCTCCGCCTGCACCAGGTCCAAAGGTTCAAGGCAATCAGGCGCCAGCCAGAGGTATCTCTGTGTCTCCGGGTCCAAAGGTTGCAGCCGTCTCTGACGGCGCAGGTCACGAAGGTGGGCTTTCTTTGCGATCACCAAGTCCGGGCGCAACTGGAGCTTCTCTATCGCGTCTGCCATACTTTGTACGCGTTCCTGGAGAAGCGCCACCGTCTCAGTCTGCGTGCTTGACCCCGGCACGTCTTTCTTGTTTGGCAAGACGAAGCTGTCGAGCTCTGCCTCCTGCACATAGCGTTCTATGGAGGACGAGCCCCACTGCCCCACCAACATGATGGTGGAAAGAGGCACCCCGCGCCTGGCCATGAACTGAGAACCGCTGACGCGCAAAACGTTGCCTCCAAAACGCTCAACTTGCTGGTGCCCTGCGGGGCCAGGGCGTACCAGTGGTACACTGTTCCACTGCAAGATGGAACGGATACTCTCAATTGTTTCACTCTTGCTCAGCACGCTACCTGCTCTGTCTGTAAACAAAGGCGCTTCCGGATCGACCTGCAGCCCCTCAGAGAAAGCAAGAGCCACATGGAAAGGACATAAGCAGGGGCCAACGGAGCCACAATAGCATCTGTGCGTCCTTGTGACCAAGTTTCCAATTTGGTCGGTCTTGGACGCCCAAAGTGTCATGATGATTGTCTGGGCCTCTCTGTCGATCTGCATGTGCTTTTGTCGCAAGGCGGCAATCTCTATCTCGCGAAGCAAGAACCAACTCCCGACGGCTACGATTGCAGACTTCTGCTTCTCATCGAGCATCTGCAAGGGCAGACGGATGTCCTCCAACTTGAAGGAGTCCTTGAGCGCTGGCCCACCGAGGCCCCGCTCAATGCTGCGCAGCGCATCCCTCACTGCCAACTCTACATCGGCCGGCACTGGCGAACCCGTCCGCATGACATGCTCGCGGCGAGCCCTAGAAAAGTATTGGCGAGGACCCCGCCGATGAAATCTGGGGCGTGGGAAGATCCTTCCTCTTCATTGTCTGAGTGCCTGCACGGGAAACCTCAGAAGCTACCCAAGTATCCCGCACAGCTGCTATCATCTGTGGGCCACACGCCGTGATCACGACGGCTTGCAAAATGGAACTCAGCTCTGGCTCGGCCACACCAGCAGCCAAGAAGGCCTTGGCCTGCAGCGGCGCGCGGACGCCATGGCTCTCCAAGATCTCGAACACGCAAGGGTCAAGTCCAGAGTCGACAACTGCCTGGACGAGGCCAGCGAACGTCTCTCCACCCTGGGCGGCCACGCTGTCTCTCTTGGGGAGTCCTATAGCGCTACAGGACTTGAAGCAACGCTGCTCGAACTACTGGAAGACGGCGTTGCATCACGCGGACCTCACTCAACACAGTCACACACGCTGAGCACGCGAGCCTATCAGCAAGCAACTCACAAACGACTCGAGCGCAAACCGTTCCGAGCACTTACAAAACCTGTGGGCATTAACAAAGGCCGCCTGTTCATTGTGCCACGCATCACACATATCTGCACCATCGAAACCACAAAGACGAGCAGAACCTGTAGTTCTCGTCGGAGCCGATTCTGCACCGCGCCGCACTGAGTAGAAGCCAAGGACGCGCTTTGCCTCACAGCTGCCCGGGGCCAACGCAACGCTGATATCCGCGCCGAAGCTGTGGAAGCCGAGGATGCGCTTGTGTTCTTACAGCTGCTCAAGGCTAAACGCGACACGGCGGCAACTAGGCACGCAGCACGCAGACTAGGTGCCCCTGCGAAAGCTATCAGGTGTCACATCTGGACCTCCGATCCACTCACGACTGCGGTGACTGCGGCATTCGCTCGCAAAGTGTCACTGCGTGCACTCATGACCAGTGGTCTTCTGCATCATCAGTGCGATAAGCAGGTCGTCGTCCATTGGCCTTCCAGTCGCCTTCTCGTGGCGATTCTTCAAATATGATGAAATCACTCAGATCACTCTCGAAATGATCAGGTCTCGGCCTGAAAGCAATGATCTCATTCAACAGATACGTGGCTCTCGCTCTCTCTCCGGCAGTGCAAACTGTCTGCGCAATCTTCTCCAAATCTCGAAACCATTCTCTGTGTCTTCATTTCGAACGACAGCTCTCGCAGCACCATCAGTGATTTGGGCAAGCATGTGTGAAAGCTGGTTGTTTTGTGTGCCAGTTTGTTGAATATCAAATCTCTCAGTCAGTTCATCCGTGATCATCACATTCGACCGTTCAACATCACATCATCAATTTGGCCATCGGTTTGTACAGTCCTACATATCTCTTCAGTTGCCATGACCATCCCTCGCACTCCGAAATCCATTCTCTCTCCACTCTCAGTCCCTGTCTCTGCCTGTCTCTGGAACCGAAGCTCGCGAAAATACAGTCTGCAATGCGTTGACCCAGTCCATGCCCGCAACACCACCATGATTCTAGTCCCTTGCCCTTGCCTTCTTGTCATTCTAAGCACTCTGGCTCTTTCGCAGTGATGGAATTGCCGTCGAAAAGAAGACGAAAGCCCTTGGGCTGGCCGCGAACGACCCGGAGTCCGACTGCCGAGGCAGACGCACGAGAACAAAGTCTTTTTCCTTCGAACGTCCCCACCTGTAGATTTGGAATTTTTTGGGGTTGGGCACCTCTGGGACACGGCACTCCAGAGACACTCTGGGGTTGCACTCTGGGGTTGGGCATGGGGTGGAACTCCAGGCACACTCTGGGGATACTCTGGGGTGGGATAGGGGTGAGAAAAACATACATGCACACGACTTCTCATGCATTGGATGATTGGTGGCGATGGCACTCTTGTATTTTCGCAGCCGCAGAGATCCTTCCATCTGCACCGATAACACAGGCCGAGATCCTTCCATCTGCACTGGTAACACAGGCCTGTGCACTGAAGCCACAGTTTGGACAGACCGCCTGTGCAGGCCAGATGTTCCTTCAAGTTGAAAGCAGCGGGTGTTGCACAACGGCAGCTAGAAACAGTGGAGCGCAGGGAGGAGCAGCAAAGAAGGCGTTGAAAGTGCACGAGCAGGATCATCGCAGCAGGCCAAGATGAGTCCACTCACGGCCGAACGTCTCTTGTCTGAGAAGTTACGATGGGCGCAAGCTGAAGGCGAAACTGGCGAAACTACAGGCTCTCTTCGCCAACGTCACCACTAATCCAGATAGCTTGCGCTGGCAGCTCTAGCATCGGCGCTGCGACTCCGATGTTAGGACATGTAGTCGAACGTCAACACTAGCACTCCCCCGCCTCTCGTGCCCCATGTGCTCCAACAGCTTCTCACCTTCATGGCTTGCATGGCCTTCATTTCTCGCATGGCCTCCATCCTAGGGCTTCCACGACCCCCCGCCCTCTACATCGCCTTCATCTTTAACAAGTTTTCAGGCAGCATGCTACAGAACCTTCACTGGGCAGACCACCTACAAACGAAACACGGTGACAAATCCAACGCTCAGAGCCAATGCATGTCTCATTTCACCAGCTCTTGAACACATCGTCTTCTAAACCTTAAAAAATGTTCACCAAGAATTCTTGTGAGAGTTTAGAACGCCCACCGCTGCATCTCAGCCACCGGATTGTCGAAGTGCTGATTTGACTTGGTTTTGAAGGTGATACTTGCCCAGGCATGCTAGTTGCGTTGGTGTGCCATAAGGCCGGTCTGCGCCCAGGCAAGACGCACCATGAACGAGGAGCGAGCGGCGCTGGGCCGGGCAGCGAGGATGCCAGGACATGCCAGGAGACATCCGGAAGACGCAACCGGTGTCAGCACTCATCGACTGCAGAAATCAAACATGGTGTGTTGACCTCACGCTCTGGGTCTGTCAAAGGCGCACAGGTTCCAGTGTTGACTCTTCCAGTCAGCACTATAGGCCCACTCGCATAGTTCTTTGCAGGTGGAGGGTACCTTAATGAAAAGAGCTTTGACAACCAGGTGACATTGAGCAGCAGCACTTTGCAGATCGACATTGCTGGTGGGATTAAAGATGAGGACGATGCCTGTGTCACAGCAACACTGCGAGTGAAAACCGTTGAACCCAGCACCCACAGGACTGGGCTCAGAGAGAGCAGCGCTGAAGCGACTAGTGGCAAGTAGATACTAGTAAATACTACGTCTGTCGGATTCCATATGGCAGCGGCCATCACACTTGCGTCCTACCCAGACTGGCACGAGTCAAGGCAACATACTGAAGAGCATTCATGTACACAAGCTGGTTGCCATGAAGACGTGGCAACGCGACCACAGGCCTCTCATGCAAGACGAAGCGTCTGCAGCTTCTTGAACATTGAAGAGGCTTTGGTCCTGCTGGGGCTCATGCTGACACACTTGCTCAAGTTTGAGCAAGATTGTCAACACAACGCGTGCGCATACGAAACTGTAAGACGTCGTCCAACACGATGTTGGGCCCTGCATGTGCATTTGCTGTGCGCAGATGTCACAATCCGGATCTACGTGATCGCAACTGCAGACTGTGAGAGGGCAAGTTTAGCAAGTGAGGGCATTGAATTGCCCTGGGCCAGGCAGCGAGGATGCCAGGAGACATCCGGAAGACGCAACCGGTGTCAGCACCCATCGACTGCAGAAATCAAACATGGTGTGTTGACCTCACGCTCTGGGTCTGTCAAAGGCGCACAGGTTCCAGTGTTGACTCTTCCAGTCAGCACTATAGGCCCACTCGCATAGTTCTTTGCAGGTGGAGGGTACCTTAATGAAAAGAGCTTTGACAACCAGGTGACATTGAGCAGCAGCACTTTGCAGATCGACATTGCTGGTGGGATTAAAGATGAGGACGATGCCTGTGTCACAGCAACACTGCGAGTGAAAACCGTTGAACCCAGCACCCACAGGACTGGGCTCAGAGAGAGCAGCGCTGAAGCGACTAGTGGCAAGTAGATACTAGTAAATACTACGTCTGTCGGATTCCATATGGCAGCGGCCATCACACTTGCGTCCTACCCAGACTGGCACGAGTCAAGGCAACATACTGAAGAGCATTCATGTACACAAGCTGGTTGCCATGAAGACGTGGCAACGCGACCACAGGCCTCTCATGCAAGACGAAGCGTCTGCAGCTTCTTGAACATTGAAGAGGCTTTGGTCCTGCTGGGGCTCATGCTGACACACTTGCTCAAGTTTGAGCAAGATTGTCAACACAACGCGTGCGCATACGAAACTGTAAGACGTCGTCCAACACGATGTTGGGCCCTGCATGTGCATTTGCTGTGCGCAGATGTCACAATCCGGATCTACGTGATCGCAACTGCAGACTGTGAGAGGGCAAGTTTAGCAAGTGAGGGCATTGAATTGCCCTGGGCCAGGCAGCGAGGATGCCAGGAGACATCCGGAAGACGCAACCGGTGTCAGCACCCACCGCATATGGCAACAAACTATGCGCGCTTGGCGCGGTGGGGCAGCAGCTTGTGGCGATGACTTGCCTAAGAGGCTTGCTGTGAACAGTCGAATTGTCTGCCGCTGTTCGAACGTACGGGGGTGAACGACCAAGGAGTTTGCTCAAACTTCCCTTAGATCAACGATGAGCCACTGGGGATGACTGGCCGGTGCAACCTGATGCAGTTCGAGGAGCATCAAGACCTGAATGCACGGCGATGTGAAGAGAGCAACATCACACAAAGCGCCTGAGCTGTGTTGACGTCACTTTCGATGCAAATACTGTCTGACAGCCCTGCGACGCTTTCCATGCCATCATGAAGCTAAGCAGACTGGCCACCAGACTTGCGGTTCAGGGCGCATGGAAGCAGTTGTGGCATGGCAACGGAAGAAGCAACAGTCTTCTTGCACTGGCATAGCGTGGTGCATGTGATGCTTTGAAGCAGCGACGTCTCAAAACCAAACACAACCTGCCAGGCTGCGTCTGGTGTCTGAGTCTGACAATGCGAAACATGACGCGAGCTAGACTTGATGTCCCCTC